ACAATTTTACGAGCATTCACAGAATAGCAGTAACTGGCACTGTATCAAGCAAATTATGCTGGCAATGAATCACAAAATCAACGTGAGATGCCCTGCAATCCTACAAGTCTCCAGGAAGAAAACAATATATATCAAAGAGTAAACCTCGTAACCCAAATAAAAATCTCATATATTTTAGAATATATACGTAGCCAGGCAATCGAGCGGTGGATTGCACAAACTTGAGTAAAGTTAAAAGATGAAGAAGAGACTAAAACAGTGAAACCGGAAAGATAATGTATAAAATGGTCAATGAAGGGCTATCGAATCATTTGAGTAGAGCGGAAACAACAGCGCCAATGTTAAGATTGCGAAGATCCGAATACGTCTGGCCGCAACCGACAAACACAATTGGCTGTCCCGTAATGTACGTCATCGAAACAGCAGCTCCGACTTTGTCATCAATAGTGTCGAACTTCGTCAAAACGATTCCATCGATGAGACGAGGTGCAGCACCTGGGGTAGCGTTGTCTGCGAGCGCCTGGTTGAACTTCACTAGTTGGTCAACAGCTTCGTTTCCAACCAAAGCTTCTCCCACAAACAACACCAAATCCGGCTCATTCACTCGGATTAACTTTGCGAGCTCTCGCATCAGTGGCTCGTTGTCCTGCATACGGCCTGCCGTATCCACGAGTACTACGTCAATGGCTCGCTCGATTGCAATTCCAATGGCTGCGGCTGTGAGACTAGCTGAGTCTTTTCCATATCCCTGTTCAAAGAGCTGAACCGAATTAGGATGGAGAGCGTTAAGATGCTTGGTGTGAGTACGCAACTGTTCCACAGCACCAGCACGGAAAGTGTCTCCAGCAGCGATCAGGACGCGATGTTGATTCTCGTTCAACCAGAAAGTAATCTTTGCCAAGTTAGTGCTTTTCCCAACTCCATTTACACCACAAAACACGATCACATATGGGCGACCTTCATGTTTAGCCTCGGCGATATCACGCAAAATGTCGACACGACGTTTTGGAGTGAGCAACTGGGTAAGCGACTCCCTAACAGCTTCTTTGACTTCCGAACTGACACGACTGAATGTGCTCACAACTTTACCCTCCAATTTACGTCCAACAGTCTGACAGATCTTGTCTGCTGGCTCAGCGGCTACGTTCTTCAAAATCAGATTTTCTCGCATTGTTTCGAGCACCGGCTGAATATCTTCTGCACTGAGTTTCTTATTGCCCACGAGGTTTTTAAATGCACCGAACCAACTGCCACTGGATTTTGCGGCAATAATCTCTTCTTCTTCACTTTCCTCATCAGAAAATCCTTGCAGCTGAGCAGATTTACCGACGTATTTGCGCTGTTCATTGATGAAAGCTAAATCCTCGTCACCACGGCCGTCATTTTCCTTATTCTTCTCACCAGAGTAGTCGAGCTCAGTAACATTTTTCACATCACCACTCAGGCCCCATACACGAGCCTGTTTTCCTTTCTTCTTAGTTTCAGGTTCTGGTGTCGTCTTTGTGGTCTTCTTCTTCGCATTCATCTTTCGCAAAAGGAGTTCTCTCCGTTTCGCAATGTCATCTGTTGGCGAGCCAGGAGTGGAGCCTAAGTCACTTCCTGAATCTGTTGATACAGGAATTGCCTCCTCTTTAACAGCCTTTTTAACTGGTTCATCCTTCTTCTTTTGTTTCTTCTCATCACCTGGACGACTGACTATGATTGAATCTATCGTCTTTTGCGACTTCGCGCTTTCCTGGAATGTTCTCGGTTTCTTCGGAAGAGCAGTCGACTTCACGTTCATTCTCATAAGATCATCACGAATACTGATGAACTCGTTCTCGAAGTGACGAAAACACTCGTATCCATACTGGTAGAGAATTTGTTTATTTAGCAAAACATTTTTATACATGTCACGAAATCGCTGGCGAACATCTGTGAGAAGTTTATCCGTATAGGACAACTGGATCGCGGACTGGTAGATGACCACAAACACCAATTCAAACTCATTATCCAAAATGAACTTGATGGTAACGTCATTATATTTAAAATGAGTTACAGCACGCTCCTGAATAAGGACATCTTTGATGAAGGCATTGATAGCTTCTACAAAACGATCGGCTCCCTCCTGGAACGCCCAGAGACCAAATCCTCCCTTCGTAAAGATCGCAAAAAGCTCGATCATTGGGAGCAGATCCTGCAAACTTTAATTCGTGGATAACGTTTACAACCTATGTAAACTGAAAGTTGAGATGTAA